AGTACACCGGGGGATATTGAGGGTGATTGTAAAGCTGAAGATTTGGCAAGAAAAGCTACGGCCACCCAAAACATTTCGGGAAAGAACTCGGTAGGTATGGCAATAGCCACTTTTAAAATGTCTGTTAGAGCTCACGTTATTCTGAAAGTCAATGAACACTGGAATAACTTTTTGCCGAGTCCTAATATGGAATGAGAACAGGGGTTGGATTCTGTAACTGTGAGTTTTCAAGTTTACACTTAAAGTTGTGTACACTCTTCATTTTGTGATTCAGGAAGTGTTAGAATGAGTTTTAGCTGGTTGCGGATCGAGGAATGCCTGGTCTAAGCCAACTGTGACAAAATGATCAAATATCTCATTTCCAGGCACTCCCGGGTTGCCTAGCGCCCAGACTAAAGCAAGCTCGTTATCTTTACCAATATAATTTAGTCGAGACTAGCATTGCGGAACTAGTTTGGCAGTACTTAGTTAGAGGGCTGGTCAATGCCTTAAGTGCAGCTTGGCTGTAATTCTGTTATCGTCTTAGAACTCAGAATGTGTATAATTGGAAGCTATGTCGAGCTATTTCGAAAAAATCCCCAGGCTTCTAGGGGTAGTTTTTAGCCAGGAACTCAAATATGTTGATATTTTTGTCTTACCAAGCAATCTAAATTAATAGTAAATAGAATCTGCAACAAAAAATTTACAAAATCATGAATATCAATTTTCAAATTATCCAACTATCCGAAGCATATTCCCCAAGCGAAAAAGTGAAGCTTATCCACATTAACTTCGAATAATAACCCAGATCCTGACCCTGAGTCAGTTTTAAAGCCATCAGTGAATATTCGGCAATGTACGAGTGCGGACTCAATGCTGGAATTAAACCAGCATTCCCCCTCAGGAAACTTTCTCTCGCTAGAATCTCTTCATCAAAGTTAATGGCGGCGTACTATCCTGTAGCATTATAAAGACACAAGTGCTCACATATCTGCCGCCGGCAATTTCCGCATAGCCTCACTCAGTGTTATACCAACATCCGTTTATTTTTAGTCTGCAGGTTGTCTTTAAGGCCTCCCCACGTATGATGGCACAAAGTGACGGTAAGTGCACCAGTGTGTCAAGAGCACTATACACCACTCAAAAAATGTAAAGTTAAACAAAGAGGCTATCAAGCAACCAGTTTGGTTCTTTACTATCGAAACCAGATAAATTTTTGTGGACCCCCACTTACACCTTGTGAGCCCTCATATTTCTTTTACGCCAACGTAGACCCCTGTCGAGTCTTCCGTGGACCCCTGGGCCTCCGCCTGGACCACTTTGAGAATAACTAGTCTACACAAGGAATTAATACTCATTGACACTCTTCCTTCAACGAAATTTGTAACGCAATTGCTAAGAAAAAAATAAAAATATACATACATACATAAATACATTTATGTACATATGTAGGTATGTAAGTCATATTTCTTTTTCATTCTACTACTTTTACCTAGCGAAATATTCAACCACAAAGCAACAAAAATATAGTGGATGGGAGGCAAATACGTGCGGATATATGTATATGTAAAACTCTGTACATAAGTATATATGTACGTATCTGATCTCGAGCTTGAAATATGAGTGTCATTAGGGCAACTTGTTTACAAAAAATATGAGCTAACAATCTCACTACGAACAGAATTAGGGTATATAAAAAAGTAACTAAGAAATTTCTAATATCCTTAGAATGACCCAACAGTAAATGTACATACATATGTACATACCTACTATGTAAGTACTTCTAACATACATAAAGCCGTAACATGTTTGTTAGTTTGCTCTATTTAGCATTAACTAGTCGCCATTGCCCAGCGGATGCACATTAAACTCTGATGTAGGGCCATAAATAAATGTCAAATGTTGTTGTAATAGTCCAAATTGCCATTGGCGTAAACGTACATATATAATGGTGCATTATGTGTGTGTGTGTGTGTGGCTGAGCCACTTGATTTCGATTCTCCTATTTGTGTTCGTGAGATACAAACCTACACACATATACATATGTATGTATGTATGCATGATTGCTTTCAACTCTTTTAGCTGTCGATAAATCAAAAGTTCTTTGAACATCCAAAAATACCAGGCATCGTCCTTTGGAGGTTATCGTGCGCACTTCAAATGAGAAAATGCATTTGCCATTTCTATGTAATGGTGACCCGAATACTAGTTCAGCTATGACCAACAATAACCCAGTCAGCTTTTGGACAATTGATCGGTAATTTATGTCGTTTTCGAGGTTCATTTTCGAGTGCGCGAATCTCTTCTATTCTTTGAAGCGGCCACGGAAACTCCGAAGGAAAAAATATTTCTAAACGTAGATATCAAATATATGTATATATCGTTTCAAGGACTGGTAAAGTTGCAGTAACTAGTATTACTTGGTGCCGACAATGTCGGCCCGACATGCTGACTGTTTATCTGATGACAGAAGATACTTCGTTTTATCCTCGTTCACCACCAAGCCCGCACGCTATATAATTCCGAGAACCTAGAACAGACATAGCCTTTGGTTTTACTGATTGTACGCTCTTGTAAAGATTTGTGCCTGAGCGGTTCAATTTTGCAACTTTTGTTATCATCTCCAACATGAAAACGAAAGGGAGTCACCTTGTCCGAAACCTTGTTTGGTACTCAACGGCTCGGAGACGTGGTCCCCAATTCTGATGGAACTGGCGATATTACTCAACATCATTTTACACAGCCATATTAGTTTCGCGGCGATACCAAATTCAGACATCACGACTTACAGATAACTCCTTTTAGTTCTGTAGAAAGCAGCTTTGAAACCGACAAACAGATGGTGTGTGTCGATTCAATTTTCACGAGTCTTCAAGATATGGCGTACTGTGCTCACCTGGTCTATGCTGGCTTTTCCAGGTCTAAAGGTACATTGATAAGGTCCAATCAGTTCGTTGACGATAAGACCTTGTAACCTATGCTCCTTATCACTTTCTTGCCACCGTGTTTTTCAGCCGCGTATCTGCTGTTTGTACCTCGTCGACTCCATTGTAATCGACTGTAGGCTCGGGTTCGTCCACTACCCAGCAAAATATCGGTAATCGCTTTTAGTGGTAACGTGTTCTAGAAGGCATAGCGTAATAATGCCTTCGAGTTTTTTTTGCTTCTTTTGGGCATTGCCGCTAATGTAAAGTAGAATGTCCTACAGTATTTAATTTATTTCGCTTCTTTGTTTCATTTCGGGGAATGCAAAGTTGAATGTCCGTCAATATTTTATTTGTTTCGCTTCTTTGCTTCATTTCAAGGAACGCAAATTAGAATGCTGCATCCTAAATAGAATGAATATCAACAAATTCTTTTTCTACCGCTACTTTCTGTTTAAATTTGTCTCGCATAATAATCAAGTTTCGCTTTGCTCAATTTGCAGCGAAGTTGAAGTCAGTCAATGAAGTGAAGTACAAGGGTGAGGAAGTACAATTTTAAGCTTAATTAAATATGCATGTATGTACATACCGATTTTTAAGTAAAATCTAAATACCTAAATACATACATATGTATGTATAAAAATTGATTTTAATTAACTTTAATCTCTTACATTCCACATTAGTTTCCCTATAAGGCATTCTTTGTTCGCTTCTCTGGATTCTGTTTATCCATTCGTTCTCCCTTCGTCTGAAGGTAATGCTGTGGGAAAGGGCTTACCGCCAATGACATGCCCATGTTAAAATAATGCCTTCTTGAAGCGAATGGGTAAGCGATTCCCATCGACTAGCTCGTTTCCAATTTCGTTTCTGTGGTAATCGCGTATTTTTTGTGGGTACTTTCAGTGCTGATAGGCGTGGTTATCGTCCGATGTTGCCCATCTCAATTTTTACTCGAGTTGCGTAGACGGACTGACAGACAGTCACGGCTTAGTCGATTTTTTTTTTCACTCTGATCAACACTTAGCAAAAGTGTAAACAGCAAAATATTATTATTATACTTATTTTTAGTATTCAGGAGAACCGGTAATTACGAACATAAGAATCTCATGCGAAATATTAATACATGCATACTGTGCATATCAAACATACCAACCGACAGCTCCTTAAGCTATCATGTGCAAAAAAAACTTGTTTCAGGGTCGTGCTGTTAGAGAAACGATTTTTTTTAACCTCAAGATTTTATGTATATAGAAAAGTACCTCCTACTGTTCAAGTGCAGTTGTTAGGTTTTGCAGTGGACCCCCTTATATATATACAGTGGCGAAAACATAAATAGGGACGCGATATTTCATATAACATAACATAAACCATATAAGTCAAAACTTCAAACTGTGTGCAAACACTAGCAAAAGTACGACAAAAGTTTGTCAATACTTCGCGTTTTTTAATCAGAATATTTAGAAAAATTTGAGTATGCATTCTACTGGCGCTTTCAATTTTAGTGAAGTTAAAGTTCGAAGTAGCTAGAACTTAAGCTGTTCCAAGATAAAACTTTATGGCTTTGCGTGACATTTATAACTTTGCCAGCAAAGCTCAAGACGCAAAAGGTATGCCGCAATGAACGTCAAGGAAACAATTTTGCGCAGCTTTTTTTACTCGTAAAAATTGCTGTAGATTTTATATATTTAGTTTTAAAAATTTCAGCAGTGTAATTAAAATTTATGTTTCTGCATGAAAACTCGAAGTTGGACGATACAGAATAAATATTAAACCAGCTGATGGCCAACACGCGCAAAAAGATAGGAGTTGGTCATCATTTCGCTTCGCGTTGCAGCTGAAAGCATCCACATATGTGGCATGCGTTGTGCATTTTCATATATTTCATCTTATCTGCCAAAGCGAATCTGTTACGCAAAGCGAAGCATCATCAGCTGTACTGTTAATTTTTGGCAGTTTTTATTTTATTTTTTTTTGGTGAAGGTGTTACTCATTTTCTTCGTATAAAACAACTGTCGTTTGAAATTGGATCTTACGTATGAATGAATGTTGTTCTATAACTTACGGCGCGCCGCTTATAATTTGTTTTGCTTTACTTACCACTTTATTTCCAAAATCGCAGATCCTTAAATCTCAAACTGCTGTGTTGCTGACTTTGTCAATTTCATTTATTCACAAACACTTGCGGCAGATGTAATCAAATATGATTCGCGAACTTAAATGGCAGCGATGTGAGTACCGAATATTTTAGTTAAAACGAAACGCGCGACGACTGAGGTCGAAATGTTTAGCGTTTAAATATCGAAATCAACAATCAATCACTCTGCAAGTTTAACGAAAAAACTTTTTATTTTTAGAGCAGAAAGGTTCACAAAACAATTTCAAGTTTTGCTGTTTGTCAACAGATATACTCATATACATGCATATGTTAATTTGCACATTTTTTTCATGTTTTTACAAGTTTTAGAAAATCGAAAGTTCAAAGCGAACTTATGCAAAATAAATCTTTTCCTGTCACTAGAGGCATTGTCTTTGCTCTTCGTACCCTAGTTTTGTGTTGTAGCCAAAAGGTTTTACCCAGTTCCAGAAATGTGTAGTACACACACCAGTGCACTATGCGTAATTTGATCAGTTTATGTGGCCAGAAGTCGCTTTCTGTAGTTACAAAAAATCAACTTTTTTGTGCTTGTTTTTTTTTTGTAAACAAAGTTTTTGGGAGATAAAAATATATTTCTGATATAACCTTTAACTAATTTCTTTCTTAGAACAGATATTTTAAAATGCACTTAAAATGTTGGCCCTGTGCGGACGTGTTAATGCTATCAGAAATGTGTAGAATCAATCAAGAGTACATTTCATGTTACGATTTTTTGCGTTTTCTGAGAGAATGCCATTGCTTTGTAGGTATTGTTTATACTGTCAGCAGCGAACTATTTGCCATTTGGAGTGGGAGAACTCAATAAAAAGAGAACACAAAAAGCTGTTTACAATTATGTTGCTGCAAAGACTGCTCCCTTTAACTTTTCGGCAGACAAACTAGAATATTCAGAGCTTTTTTTTGTTGCAAGAAAGTAGAAAATCGTATGCCAATCAGTAAGAAATTATGTTTTGTTAAATATTTAATTATAACTAATTTTGCTGGCTCATGGCTTAATGGCTCAAATTAACCATAGTGCAGTGTTTAAGAGAAAGGAAAAATACTCCAAACTTAACCGCATCAATGCGCGCACATGGGAGAACGCCTATTGCATATGTCCTTACATGCACATACTTTAATTATCAATAATAAATAGACATTATAACGTTTAATTTAAAACGCGAGTGTTTTCACTTTAAGTAAAACGCAGTCAATGGCCACCGCGTTGCTAGTCAGTATTCCTATTCCATAGATATACAGGCCAATTCTTAATACTACCGGGGAGTCTTTTTTCCGAGAATTTGTTTCTCCCGAGAAAGAAAACCTCCAATAATTAACAACCAGGGAGTAGCATTTTCCCCGAAAACTTGGGAGGAGGGAATTTGAACTTCAAAAAAGCTGTTTGACACCTTTTTGAGAGCGCAACTCTGTCATTTAATATAAAAAATCCTCAGGGAATTTTTATTCATGATAAGAGGAAAGGGAAAAGAAAGAAAACTCCCGGGAGATTCTGTTCAGAATCGGCCTCATAATTAATCGTAATTAGTAAATACATATATGGGGTATTCACACAGGTGTCGTATTGTTGTATGTCGTAAACTTTAAAGGGCTAAAATATTAAGGGAATTCCTAAGGTACCATAAAAGCCATATTATGAAATTTCACAGTGTTACAAAATAGTTGGTCGTGGTTTCAAGTCCTTCCTCTAAACATTTACAACAAACGACAACGTTGCGCAGTCCCCATATAAGCTGTGGCCAAAAGTAGTAACTGTACTTGAAATTCGCTGAAATATGCGATGTTCGGCACTTAAGAATGGAAATACGTACGGTAAAATTCAACGCGCTAGCACGCCCACAGCTCTTGTGGGCAGAAATAGTAAATGTTATCCGATTTTGATAAAATTCAGAGCATATGCTGGTTTTAACGAGTAAAGCATAAATCTGAAAGATCGTCAAAATCGGTTTACATTATCGTCCAGTAATTCTAGAAAAACGGGCAGAAAAAAAAATATTTTTTGATTAAATTCGTTGTGCCCTGCCCGTTTAAGCCAAAATTTTCCAACTTGGAAGATAAAAAAGAATTTTTCATTACAGCACCCAACTTCTACACAACTTTTTTGGGTCCAAGTACTAAATTTTATGATTTTTGGAGAAAATGAACAGGCACATTTATTTTGTTTCTAAAGAAGTTAATATTTCTTCATTTTAAAAATAACAAAACAAAAAAATTTACAAATACCTGCATACTAAATTATGTTCACGATATGTATTTACACTGAAACTTTCAATTTCACCTACATTTTATGCAACAAAAGCTGAGCTAAGGCCAGCAGGACTCTTGCCATCGACAACGGATCTCGTCCAGAGAAGCGTCCATTTTTGGCTGAATGTTGAATGTGATTAATAGATTGGTGAGTCATTAATATCTATACCTTCTTTAATTTCCACTTTATATTGCAATTTATTTATTTTATGTACACACCAGATTCTTTCCCTTCAGCTCTACAATAAAAATTCAATAAATTTTACAGGAGATTGGTCTATAAAAGGAAGAATAAAAGCTGTTATTTAATGTTTACTTCTCCTAAGTATAATTTATCTCGCTTCCTAGGTCCTTTTTAAATAGCCCTTTATAAAGTAATCACTCGAAAAATTTTATAGGAAAATTACTAATTGTATAGAATTATCCTGTCAGTGCTACTTAAATAATATATATTTACTTCAAATGTGTTCTTGCGCTCACTCAGTTGAGCTGAGTTACAGAAACCTAGTGGGCAAAATATGTATGTATTCAGATTGTTTAGTTTGCGTTTTTTATCATTCTAACTTTTTTTTTTTACAATGCACTCTTCTATATATCTGTCAACAAACAGCACAAATTAATAGGGTGTTTGCATGTGGTCACAAAAATTCTGATTTTAATTAAATCAGCACATTTCTTTTGCCTATTCAAAGTCCATTTAGCGCATTTTTTTGTTAAATCACATCTCAGATTGCCATTTCTAATTTACTTAAATTTTCTCGGTAATTTTCTTATGTAGTATTTTTCATTTATCTCTCTGAAGATACATTTTTTTTATAACAATACATTTGTGCACATAAAAACCCACATATACACACACGAAAAGTACACAAAAAGCTAGCCAACAGTGCCACGTCGTCGACTTGAGAGTCGGAAAGTCTACAATTCACCACAAGTTTGCTAGACAATTAGAAGATATTTTCCATAAAATTTTTTTCTTAATTCTCTTTTTTTTGCTTAATTTGGTTTAA